ACTAATCTGTATTAGTCAATGCGCTGTGTACTGAGACTGACAGAAATTTAAAAGTTGATATTTTCTAAGTCAATATGGCTATGAACTATACTCCCATTCCGGTGTAACAAGTGAGGAAATTTGCTGCTGTACAATATTCCATTGCTAGGTAACTTTGTAACAGTTACACATAATATTATTGTGCTTTTGGCAGCCACGGTTAATTTTAAGTGACTTGAAATATGAGCCAAAAACAATTATAGTGTTCCTTTGGGAAAAGTTTTCTTGCAGTCTTTAGATGATCTGAACCAATGTTTGTAAAAATCGGACAAACCACTGAGCATGTTTGAAAAAAGCTAATTTTTCTGAAAGCTTAAAACGGCGGGATACATTTTTTTGGTGGGAAATGACAACTTAGGCAACGAGTTCCAGTATTAAATCAAGTAAATGTTCATTCATTCATTCATTTTCTTTTCAACTAAGTCCCTTTATTAATCAGGGGTCACCAATTAACCGCCAACTTATCCAGCATTTGTTTTACAAAGCAGATGCCCTTCCAACCGCAACCTATACAATCTCATTGACACACATACACTACGGACACTTTTATCTTACCCAATTCACATATTCATCTTATTCTCCGTGTACAAGCGGGCGCAGCTATTTGAATCTTTTTGGCTGGAGACTTCCGGTCTAATTCACTTCCATTCATTTTTAGACGTTAAAAACAGCTTGTTATGCTGCTTGATGTTGCAAACTTATATTTTCCTATTTTATGATTCTGCTTTGTCTGTATAATCATGAACACACTTGTTTGTATAGCAGTAGTTTGACCATTTTCTGATGATTTTTATACCAAGTAATTTCTTCCATAGGCGGCTGATCGTAACTTCTAAAACAATCGCAAAAACGAGAGCACTTCCACATTGAAGAATGAGATCAATAGCGCATGTCTATGGACTTGTGGGGGAAACCAGAGCACCCAAAGAAAATCCACGCGAACACAGGGAGAACATGCAAACTCCACACAGAAATGCCAGCTGGCCCACCTGGGGCTTGAACCAGCAACCTTCTCACTGTGAGGTGATCGTACTACTCACTGCACCACCATAATGCTCTAGTAGGGCTGTCAAAATTAATTGTTTCTTCAATGCACCGAAATGCAGATGCAAATAATTTGGTATCGGTTCAGTAATAATCATAACCGGTTATTATGTACAGAATCATTTATCACAAATGTGTTATATGGTGGTAGCTTTATAGTGGTAGTCTTTCACTGACAGGGAAGTACATCAGAACCCAGCTAGGAAAAAATGAAAGCTGTAAACTTTCTCTTACTCTCTGTGTCCCCTTCAACCGAGGTAACTTTTTAATCTCCTCTCTCGGCTGGTACAACAATAACGTTACTTGTGGATCTAGCATGTCTGCAGAGTGAGTTGTCTATCGCCCTCTATGATGGATCAGCTGAGCGCAGCAGCTGTTTAACATCAGTTTAGCACCAGAGCCGTGCTGACTTAGAACCAATCACAGCTTTTTCTGTAAAACGACTGATCAATCACAGGCGTTTAAAAAAACTCGGTCGACAATGTTCAAAAAGCAAGTGGGATAATATTTACGTTGTTTATTTGCTATGAATGCTCATGTTGTTCTGTGCATGTGCTCTCATGAATGTCTTTTTTGAGCAGGTAAAATTAAAGGTACAGTACATATACGGTATCTACCCTCTTGTTTTAAAGGACAAAATTGCATTACAAATAATATATAAATATGTTAAGAAATTATAAACTTTAATACAAGAGTTATTGTGTTGCTAGGTAAAATATATAATCGTGTTTGGAAAGCATCGACAATGCACTGGAATGCACCGAGATATCAAATTGAACCGAATCAATGGCATGATAATCGTAACCGAACCGAACCGCAACACCGGTGTAGGTTCACACTCCTAAAATCCATTAAACAATAGCAGGTTTTAGGTGCAGCCACTGCTTGGGTTTGATTGGATCTTTACGCTTCAGTGCGATATAGCACATATAACTCGCACTGAATGCAAACAAAGCGCCTTGAGTTTAGACCTGTAGGACTTTGTCACCTCAGTGTGCTTTCTATCACTCTGATGTATCGCTGTCACAGCTCTGCCAGGTAACCACTGACCACCCACACTGTCCTCAGATAACACATGGATTCACATCAGAAGAACTCCTTGGCAGGACTAGTCTTTGTGGCATCATGGAGGGTCTGATGTCATTAATGAACTCAGATCCACATTGGTGTTACTCTGCTCACTGAGGATAAATAGTATGACTTGGCCTTGTCATATCCTGCATTCCCAAACATGCAGCCAAGGCCAGTATAAATGAATAAGTGTGATTTCATAAAACAGGATTTGCTTGTTAACAAAACATTACGGCAGAGGATACTGAAAGGATAAAGCGGCGGGAAAGGCAGACCCGTGTGTTGAACTCGCATTATGGCAAATGTGCAAAATTCAACATGGACCCAGTAAATTCCTCTGTTCCCATTGCAAAGCAATCATTTCTGAAACTTTTGCTTGAAGTTGGTGAACTCTACATTTTGAATGCTACTCTGAGGACTAGGGCCAATGACAAGTGTTAGTCAGTATATTCACATTTGTCGATCACAGTTTTGTATTTTCTGTTCTTTTATGGCCAGCTATAATTCCAAAAGAAAAAAAAAACGTAGCTAATAAGTTAATGTTTAATGTATGAAATATAGTTGTTCATTGTTAGTACATGTTAACTCGGAGTGCATTAGCTACTGTTAAAAAGCACAGCTTTTGACATTAATAATGGATTAGTAAATGTTGAACTCAATATTGGGCAACCTGCTTGGAAAATGTAGGAAAATGTACTGTACTTTAAACTAGCTCAACTACACTAAAAGCTACCCCCTAAGAAATGTAGCAAGCTAAGCTAAAAGCTACATGGCAGAGGTAGCCTACATCTGTAATGTAATGTAATGTATTTATATAGCGCAATTACTTTGTATGGCCATACACCCAAAGCACTTCACAATCATGAGAGGTCTCTCCACACCATCATCAGTGTGCAGCATCCACTTGGATGATGTGACGGCAGCCACAGGACAACAGCCCCAGTGTGCTCAACACACAACAACTATTGGTGGAATGGAGAGACTTTGGCCAGGACACTGCGTTTACACCCCTACTCTTTGCGAGGAGTGCCATGAGATTTTTAATGACCACAGAGAGTCAGGACAAATGGCTAGCAGTGTGTGCTTTACGACAACTCTAGTAATTTTGAGCAGCATAGTTTTTTGTGCTAGCTAGTTAGTTTATGGAGGAGTTGCCACATTTGTAATTATGTTTTGGCATAGGTAAGAGGTTTAGTAAATAAGCATGGCATATGCTGAAGATTACAGTTTTGTTTCTGCAGTTTTTTTTTGGTTAGATAGTTTAGTGGGAGGGGGTTTAGTTAGATCGTTTTGTTATATTTATTTCTTTGTTTAGGCAACACTCCTGTTTTTTAGGTTTATTTCGGTTATTTAAAAATACATTCTAAATTCCTATATTCATTGTTTGATATACTCTGTTTAATAAATAGTTAATTTTTGTTTCATTTATCCATCGGTTGTGTGTTCTCATTTTCACCCAGCCCCATCAGAGACTCACTGAATGAACGCCTCACCTAACTTAATAGCTTAGAAACGTAACAATTAAAAAAAACGTAACAATTAAAAAAAAAACAATTCAACTTTCAAGCTTCAAAAATAATTCCTCAACAATCATCTTTCCATCAAGCCTCAGCCTAATGACGACATCACCGACCAGAGCGAGAGGTGGCAGTAACCCACCAAAAAGTTTGTTTTCGAGCACTGTTAAACACGAAGAAGAAGAATTTGCTATTCTTGCTAAATGAAAATAAAATGGATTTACTTTCATTAGTCAGACACTGGCTTCACAGCTCAGTGAATGACGGCGACATCACTTAATGATTCGCGATCAGTAAATGTAGCTTGTGTGAACGATACTACGCTACTTGCTTAAAATAATAGCTGCGCAATTGAAAAGCTATTTGAAGGTAGTGACTCCACTGCCACGCTACTGAGAATGTAGTTAAGCTAATAGCATCACTACTTGTAGCATTATAGTTCTACAACACTGGTTGAACTATAATAAATACTGTTCAAGCATTGTTCAATGTTTGCTTATGTTAGCAAATACAATAATCACTATATGTCCCGAACTGTGAAGTGTTACTAAAAAATAAAACAAAACATGAAACCAAACAAAATAACCAAAAAAAAAACACAAGTCATCAATAAAAATAAAACATACTAAAAATGGTTGATTTAATAGTTATAAATGTATACAGAAGCGCATTAAAAATAAGAACAAAGTAACAAAAGCAAGACAAAAATTGTAAAAATATAATCAAAACAAAAAATGCAAAGATGAAAAAATAAATAAATAAAACAACATGAAACTAAATAAATAAAGTAAATAAATAAATAGATCAAAATGTTTTTAGACTTAAGTGAAGCAGAGCATTTCCCAAACAAAAAACACCTTCTCATACAGTATCCCTGAGGTGTGAATCACCATTTTTCAGATGTTGATAAAAGTAACGCCTAAAGAAACAGGCTGACTGAAAAAACGCCAAGCTCTCCATCGCTCTGGTAAAAACAAAGCATCTGCTAAGATCATACCTAAGAGAAAGGCTCTTCAACTTGTCTTTAACACATCTAGTCATCCAAAATCACAGCTGACACTTCATTGATAAAGAAAAGACGAATGGAAACGTTTCATAGATTAGCAGTTTTTAAAGCAGAGAAAGCAAAGATAAGAGGCATTAGCTCGAAACCCTGCTTCTTTCAGACAGAGCCGTGACTTTGTTAAGCACCTTGATATATGAGATGTTTAAGCGCCATTCTGACAGGATGACAGTGTAATCTGGTGCAATGAACTTTCAACTGAGGATGACAGGGTAAAACACACACACGCACGCACACACATTGACCTAATGTTAAACAGGTCTAACCTTCTTCTTGCTGCAGTAAATCTGCCATTTCTTTTCTGCGGGTAAGGCAAACATGGCCTCTCTGTGCTTCTCTGTGAGGTCCAGCTCATCCTGAAATGAAATAAAAAGGGAGACAGAGAAAGAGGAAAAAAAGATTAGTTCAATTTTGAACCTGGACATGGCAAAAACAAACTGTAAATCCCTCGAGGCAGGGTCAATATTCAGCCACAAACCAATGATAACAGCATGTGGAAACCACTGAATGTTTTTTTTTTTCAACTTTCTCCTCAGCCACAAATACTTCCTCCCATCGTCCAGCAGCGACGACATTGACAGAAAGAAAAGATAGACGATAGAAGAGTGAATGGTGATTTGCACTGCAGACCTGGCGAAATTACTTTCCACTGTATACTTATATATATATGGCTGAGGTGATAATAAATCAAAGCTGACTTAAAATACACTTGACGTGAATTTGGAAAATGCAAAGGATATAAATAAAAGTTACACTGGATATATCTCAGTTAACAAGAGCAGATGAGAATGCCATTTTTTGTTTTATAGTCAATTTAAATATACAGTTGAAATCAGAATTATTAGCCCCCCCTTGCATTTTTTTTCTTTTTTTTTTTGATGTTTAACAGAGCAAGGACATTTTCACAGTATGTCCGATAATATTTTTAATATTTAATATTCTTATTTGTTTAATTTCGGCTTGAATAAAAGCAGATTTTAATTTTTTTAAACAGTTTTAAGTTTTTTAAAGAACATTAAGGTCAAAATTCTTAGCCCCTTTAAGCTATTCTTTTCCAAAACCATTGTTGTATAATAACTTGCCTAATTACCCTAACCTGCCTAGTTAACCTAATTAACCTAGTTAAGCCTTTAAATGTCACTTTAAGCTGTATAGAAGTGTCTTGACAAATATCTAGCAAAATATTATGTACTGTCATAATGGCAATGAAATAAATCAGTTATTTTAGATAAGTTATTAAAACTATTATGATTAGAAATGTGTTGAAAAAAATCTTCTCTACCTTAAACCTAAATTGAGGGGGGGGGGGGGGTGCTAAAGTATTATTATATAGTGTTCAGTAATTCTTGATTATAAATACATTTGAATTGAAAGAAAATTAAGTCTACAATTCATGCATGTAAAATTATAAGTACATAGTCCCAAAAAATAATTAAACTTTAGTGATTGCAATAACAATATGAGCTCTATTTTAACGATCTAAGCTCAAAGTCTAAAGTACAGGGTGCAAAAGCATTAAAGGCATGTCTGAATCCACTTTTGCTATTTTAAGGATCGAAAAATCCGCTTTGCGCCCTGGCACATGGTCTAACAGGGTTGTGCTTATTCCCTTAATGAGTTATGGGTGTGTTTTGAGCATAATGTGCAATAATCCAATCAGAGTGTCAGAGTCAGTTGCGAGTCAGTTGCGCTACACCATGGCGCATTTGCTATTTACATGTCGGACTACATAGGTGAAAAAACTGAACGCTTCAATAGCAAAAAAACAGTTTAACAGATCATCTGCAGTGAGGATAAAGAACGAGCCTCCTCCATTCAGCCTTTACTTTCTCTTTACTTTATTTTTACTTTAGACTTCACTCCTTTACTTTTGTTGATAAGAAAACAGTGTAGTATGCACTCTTTTGAAGACATCCATTAGCCTACATATCTAATTTAGTTTGTTAAGCAGAAAGATTTCCTTCAAAACTATTTTTAAATTCAGTTCAAATGTACAGCAAACGAATAAATAAACAATAATAACAAAGTGTGGTAAAAAAGTTATATCCAAACACACGTCCTATTCTTATGCCCCATATAGTGATGCATACTGTACATCTCGAAAACCCCACAGGTGGACAAATCTAAACTAATTTGTTTTAATAAACAAAGATAAATATGAATATAATAAATAACACTGCTAATAAAATGTAAATTAACAGAAATGAAAGTGGTTTTTATATTTATGTAGAAAATTAGTAATAATTATAAAAATATTTGTGTGTTGCTGTACATCCTGTGTGTATTAAGCACTGTGTAAGCGTTTGGACCAGCATAGCTGCATAACTTATGCAATCCGCACTGGACTTTAGACCAACTTTTACATGGACAACAGCGCAGTCTATTTGAGTTCCTCAAAATTGCAACACGCTAACTATGCACCTTAACATCCTTTATAGACCGAAACACACATGAATCCACAAAGTGGCGCAAATGAATTTTCTATTTAAAAAACGTGGCGTAAAATGTCAAAATTAGAGTTGCACTATAAATATGAAAATAGCAACCATTCATACCAAACATTTCTTGCACCTCATTGTGCAGGGTGTTTTACATTGATTATTTTCTTAACATAAAATTGCCTACAAATGACACCTTAAATACTATATGTATATTTATTTTGGGAAAAAAATAGATATATGAATTTATACATATAATTCAAACAGGACACATTTTAAATTTAATTTTCATTAAAATTTTACTGCTTAATGCTTGAAAATTCATATTTTCCAATTCAATGCCAATGCAGATGAAGATCCAGTAGACTGTCTAATGTAAATCAAATTCCTGAATGCTCACTATGAATTGTGCCTAGTACTGGTTGTAAACACTGAGCAACGAATGTTCAGCCCACAGGTTAAGCAATAAAAGCCCAACATATATACTTCTGCCACTTGTAATTTCCCTTTGTTTTGTGCTTGAAATAGCAGTAAACCACAACAATCACTGTGTTGTGGTTGGTCCTCAGCAGTGGGTGTAGATTTCCACAAAGAAATTCTTGGTTTGTTTGTTAGTGTGCCGCTCTCAACATGGGAGTCCCAAGCGCACTGTTTTTTTCCACAGTGATTTCCCACTTGTGCACTCACACAAACAAAATCATTCATACAATGCATATGGAATATAAATGTATCGACTTGAAAACACAACTAAATCTGTGTGCAATCATAAATATTTTGTGACATGAGGTTGTTGTCCCTCATAATGTCCCTTTACAAAGCATTCTGTTGTCTGGAGACAGTCATGAGACTCTAGTCTCAATATATATAGTGTACAGTACTCCAAAGAAGTGATGACCAAATGTAAAAACATTTCTTAAAAATTAATATATAAACAATTTATAATAGCTGTAAAACAGATAGTTCACCCAAAAATGAAAATTTACTCACTATTTATATTCTAAAAAAATCTATTTCAACCCAATTATGGGTGTAATAGGGACAAATGCTGGGTTAATTTTTTCAGTTAAATCATTGGACCAAATTTAACCCAATGTTTAGGTTAGTCCATGTTTTACCCCATCTGGGATTAAATAACCAAGCATTTCTTACAGAGTGCTCACTTTTTCTTTATTCTTACTAAAGAAGATATTTTGAAGAAAGATGAAAGTCTATAACCACTGACTCCCAGTGGAAAACAAATACTATGGAGGTCAATGATTACAGATTTCCAGCTTTTTCAATATATCTGTGTTTCAGAAAAAAGGAAGCCAAACATGTTTGGAATTAGGATTTGTGAGTAAATTATGATACAAATTTCATTTTTAGGTGAACTCTTCCTTTAAAAATGTAAAATTATGTATTTAATTGTAAATGAGGCCATTTATTAAGAATTAAATGAGCAAACCTAATTTCCTGGCCTCCAGAAATGCCCAATAGGCTGTCATTAGAGGCTACAATCTTTAGTATTTTTCTTAGCGTGGCCCCATCATGCCAACTCTGAAACTCTGGTTTGAATCCTACCTGGAGTGGAGTGACTAGACAGGAAGGGTTATATTGGTGCCAAGGCCCGGATAAGAATGAGATTTGGGTTGTGCGGTTAAACATAGAGAGAGTACGTAAGACCTGCATGAACAAAACTCACTTAGGGATGTAAGTGACAAGGTGGCCAGCTAATTAAATTTTGCGGTAAACCATTAGCATATTTAGATCTAATGCACTCAACTACCATGAAAGAAAAGCCTGCTTGGTGAAAACTGAAAGGGTTGCACTGATTCCACGACTTGGGTTGGAGGGAAGCATAGTGGGTAAAAGTTATCTAGTACACAGGTGCCAAACTCAGTTCCTTGAGGTCCGCAGCTCTGCACAGTTTATTTCCAACCCTAATTAAACTTACCTGATTAAATTGCGTCCTATAAGCTTGTTTGAAACTTACTGGTAATTGTGTTGAGGCAGGGTTGGAACTAAACGGCAACGGCCCTCCAGTAACTGAATTTGACACCCCTGATCTAGTGGATGCTTGAGCCTCTAGTCCTTGTGAGTGTCCCTGACTCCTATGCTGGAAATGACAGCTCAAATCTTGCTCGGAGTGGAACTAGTAGAATTGGAGGAGTTAAATTGGTGCCATGACCCGGATTGGATTGAGAACAAAGCAGGCCAGCTAGTATTAGCTGCGCAGTTAAATCTTACACCTCTGAAATTAAAAGGTGCACTAGAGGGTATGGCCTTTAGCAAGCTTTTCACTTTATGCTCCTTCTATGCCATAAATGCCTGTTCAAAACCTGCTTGGTCCTGGGAGAGTGGAAGGAGTTAAACTGGTGCCGTGACCCGGATGGGAGTGAGCTATGGTGGGGTGAGACAATCAAGTGATACCTGTGACATCTATGCACTTGCAATTGATGGTAGAGATACCAGCATTTGGTGTCTTTGTTAGTGTGCCCTACTCTCCTGCCAAAAATGTTGGATCAATTCCCAATCCAAATGGGAAGGGTTCCACTCAGTTTGTAAAGGTAATCTTATGAAAAACCTTCACAATTCTACAAAAGCGTGGAGATATTGACAGTGGAAAAGCACTCCGCTTCATCTGTCAAAGCTAATTTAATTTAAGCTCCACCATCTGAACCATTCAATGAATGGATCCACCATCATCCTGTCCACTTCAGCTGCAGAACCTAATAAAGAGGCCTCTCAGCATGCATCTCTCACTGTAAATCGCTGCACGTAACGCTACACAGAGATTAGCCTGCCAAAACTGGTAATGGCTTCCTGTCTGGCAGCTCCTGGTGACAGTGATGTCCCTGATGCTCCACAGGGATGCAGGAGAAAGGAAGAGCTGCTGTTCCTCTCATCCGGCCTGGTGTCTCTTCCATCTCTTGTCTTCC